GCCATGTGCTTGTGCACAACGTAGCTTCGCTCCCCCCTTCCCCTCCCTAATTATTTGTTGTTGTTATATTCCTTGTACATTTACCTTTTCCAGTTGGGAAAATTTCTATTAAATGGAAGGGATCACTTCCGAGCCCTTTCCTGTTTACCCCAGACTTTATTGTTGTTATTTTGTTTCTTCGCCTTTCGTTTAGAGAGTTAAACTGTGTAAACATGTGTTCTTCACATATTATGCAATGTTAATGTTTCATTGTTTTATTGACATTATTTTTCTGCATTGTAGTGGAGCACAAGGTGAATATGCTGGGCTCAGAGCAATCCGTGCCTACCATGAACACAATGGAGCTGAAAATAGAAAGGTGTGATTCCATTGATCATACTCTATGAGAATGATGATCTAAAATAAATGCTTTTTGAGTGTTAACATCATCATGATGTCAACACTTTTTAAGTAACTACCAAACATCAAAATCAAATCAAGACTTTATTTATCCATGGTAAAGATTAAAGCTATAAGCTTATGGGGCCTTGCACTAAAATAAAAGAAAAAAATAATAAATGTTGTAACCTATTATCTATAGAAATCTGGGTAATGGTTAGATAATTTGATCATTGGGAATTCTGTAAGAAAGCTGACGTATTCTCACCCTTTACATTGAAATATTGTGTGGTGATAAGGATTGGAATACTATTTAAATGGTAAACTTGGCTGCAGGCATCGAACTTCATAGATTCAGGGATTGTTTAGACAGCAAGTGGCAAAAAGAGTAAGGAAAATGGCGACACAAGACTGAATTATAGGTGAAGAGGTGGTGAAGGGGGAACCCTGTAATGGACTCGCAATGGCATTCCATTCAGGGGGAGTAGAATTATTCATGATAGCTTTATGCTAAAGAAACTAGAGTACCAAAGTTCTGATGTGGTAGAGGTTTTTTGTATACTGTACGTTTGATCCAAGGTTGCGATCTAAGAAAAATTATGAGGAGCCCAACAGTCCATCGCCACGAAATCCTTGGTGTGCGGCACTTAAGCTTATGTGAAAAAAGGAAGTTTTTCCAGTCGCCCTACATGTAAGACACCGATGCACTTCTAGAGCAC